CACACACACACACACACACACACACATACACACACACACACACACATACACAAACAAACACACATGCTTTTCTCCATTCCCAAAAACTCGTTTAAAAGAAAGCGGAGATTTTTACACGCTAAATCTTCTGTAAATGTGGCAAGCATACGACGGTTGGAAGTATCTGTGAAATAGAGAATTAAAAAGAATGTTTCGAAAAATATAGTGATGAATAAAGGAACTTTTCGTTTTGTGCAAAACCAGAAAGAAGGGGAGGAGGCGATAGATAATTATAATATATGTGATCATGGCGCGTGACAGAAATGCTAACACTTGGCAGGCCACGCCTATAGAGGGGGAGAGAACTGAGATGGCGGGTCGATGTCTCAGCTCTTTTGATGTCAACGAAGTGTTTGACTAAGGTGGACAAATGGTGTTCGAGATGAGAAGAGTCACTCACACGGTGTATCGCCTCACTTTGTGACACCTCAGCCTTAACTGCAGTGACTGCCGGTGAGTGTAAGTGTGTGGTTGGCTGTATACTTGACCTGGGATATGGAAAGTTAAAATTTGAATCCAAGTGGAATTTAAATATTTTTCTTTAATTCCTGGTGACATAATGCTCAAACTAATTTCGTGTCTTAGACAAAGATTCGTGAAAACTAAAACATCCAAATCACAGAAGAAAAAAATTGTTCTGTCTTGATTGAACCTGAAACGCAAGCATCGCATACCAGCATGATCCCAGGCTGTACTACTCATAAGGCGAGGGGGGAGGGGGGTGTTTTTTAATAACTTAGTGAGGTACATACTTACGTATGAAATGCACACACACACGTACACACTCACGCACACACTCACGCACACATACAATCGCACGCTCGTTCACTCATGCATATACGTACATGCATACATACATAAATATGTACATACATGTAGATCTATATGTGTACGTTCTCCCCAATTTAGACGAAATAAAATAGCATGGCATTTTACATGCTACCAAAAAAATCCAAACAATAACAAACTCATGCTTGCATACAAAGGAATTTTAAGCTCTTAGATTCATGAGTACACACACACAGACATATCGGCAAATTGAGTCCTCTTTCTTTTTACCCTTTTCCGGTCTGCCTGGGGGTGCGAGTGGTAATTGGCTTCCATGCAATCTGTACTTTTCAAACGTAAAGCACCATGCCAAAATAGGCACGTAAGGACCCTCTACTCGCCGAAACTGAACGTAAAAAACAGGCATTATCTCATTATTCGCCTCCGCTCAGTCTACAAATCCAATTATTCATTTTGACAAGGCAGCCGAGTTTCGAGAGCGATCCCCTTATTTTGAAATCCATTATCCAGAGACAGAGAAAACAGGCAAGCTGTAGAGCTTGTCATAGCTAACTCACAAGCTCGCTGCTACTGCTGCTCCAAATGCGTTTCGTTTCCTTTGGTCTCCATTTGAGAATGTTGTCGGGACTTTTCCATTGCCTTTTACTTGACAGCATAATTTTTATAGCTAAGTGCCCTTAAAGTTTGTTTTGCCAATTAATGAAAGAATGTTTTAATTTAAGAAAAAGACATTGACATATTAACATAATGTTATACTTATTTACAAGCTGCGTTCTTGATCTTAGTTACATTTTATGGTCACCTTGTCCTTGTCGATATATTTTTGCTTAATCTTTTGTTCCGTTGGCACTTTGACTGTCAAGAATTTTGCAATAATTTTCCTTAAAAGAGAAGTGGTGAGAAAAAAAGAAGGGGGGGTCGTCGCTGTTTAACGTATAGATTTAATTCTACACCTCTGTCACTAAATGCCAAATGTGAGTTAAAGTGAAGGGCCCTGTGGGCGGGTGGTGGGAGAGGGGAGGATGAGAGGGATAATAAATAAACAGCTGCACACCGTTAACTGGTCCAGCCCCTTTCAGTTGATGTGAATACCCCATATTACTACCCATATATTGTATAAAGAGACATGTGAGATAATGGCCTGTGTGTCTCGTCTCAGCATTCTTTTCTGCCTTTCTTCCTTCTGCGTTGCTCTTACTATTGTGCCTATGCTCTAACTCAGCGCTTACCAACCTGGGTGGTATCGCCCCCTACCGGGAATACTTCTGTACGTCTGGTGGGCGGTGGGGATCGCCCGAGTAGTGACAGCAAGTGAAATTTTGTCCCGCTTTTTGAAATACATGTAGTGCAAAAATGTTAGCCTCTTGACGGTGGGAAAAGTGGGCGCTGGCTGTAAAAAAGGTTGGTTTAGACTCTTTGAAACGAATTTTGAATCTATGTGATATCCATTATTGTCTTGGTCACTTTATCTTCCCGGTTCACATTGCAGGTATCCGAGTTTGTTGGGGGGGGGGGGGGCGGTTTCGTTGTTGTTGTTGTTGTTGTTTTTGATAATGTGGATTAACACCCAAAATGAGCGCACTGAGGTCCATTTCCCTGTAAGTAGACACATGGGCAAAGCTGACACCTGTGGGCTGTAGAGCCTTTAATACTTACCTTTAATACTTACAACCATTTTTTTAATTGTGGGGGGAGGGGGGATGAGAAGGGGGTGTTTTTTTTAGGGTTTCTTTTTTTGTAGTGGGGGTTGGATTGTTTTTTTTGTTTTTTTTTGTTTTTTTTAGGGGAGAGAAAGGGTTGTTTGCTTGGGGTTTTGTTGTTTTGTTTTGTTTTTTGTGTTTCTGTTGTTCTGTTGTTGTTTTGGGCTGGGGTTTTATGTAGTTTTGTTGTTGTTGTTATTGCTGTTATTGCTGTTGTTGTTGTTGTTTTTAAAAGAGGGAATGTTTGTTTTCGTTTTTTTCTTGCTTTTTTGGCCCTGGGGAATGTTTGGGTCTTTTACTTGTTTGTACTTTTGTTTGTTTGTTTTGTTGTTGTTGGTTTTTTTGTTGGTTGGTTTGGGGGAAATGTTGTTTTTCTTTTTGTGGTGCGATGACCCAGACATTTTTAAAAAGATATTATAAATAAGGCTTCAATATAAAAAAATGTCAAAGTCTTTAATAACATCTCCCTTTTTGTTAGCGACAGGTGTTGAGACATTGGGTCTTTGTAAACAGCTGAACATTACTACATCACTCACCCACTCACTCGCCCCGTTGGCTTACGTCGTCGGGGGAAACTGAGCGATGAAGATGTTGGGATATTTCTGCATGTCCCTCTTTCCGTTGTCCCATCGAGTACTCTGGTCGACAAACGAGTAAGTTCTTTTTTTATACGAGGTGCCCACTACTGATGGGTTCAGCCGATCGGGCCCGATCTCGGTCGCCTCAAAAACAAACGTGTTTGTTTTCAGTTTCAGGCTATCGAGTCGGGCGATCGGTCCAATCCAGCCGTAGTGGGCACCCCGTATTATATTGTCGGACCAGTTTTTTTTCTTCGTCGTCCTCTTGTCGACTGACTCTAACAGTGTCCTCCTTAGTGACTTTGGTAAGACGTTCATACTGTGCTGCGTGTCGTCCCGTTCAGGCGCATTTAAAAAAAATAATTTTTTGCTACGTACCCTTCCGAAAACAACGCATACCCTTCACTGAACTAGACTATGAACTGTTTCTGTTTTTGTTGTTTTGTTTTGTTTTTTTAGTCTTTTCCCGTTTTAGTTTTAGTAAGAGTCTTACCGTCCTTGCTACATTATGTACGTCACTTAAGTGTCGAAGATTAGAGGAGTTACCAAAGTACTGTTCATGCAGTACAAAATATACTAAAATTGAAACGATACAGAAAAGATTAGCATGGCCCCTGCGAAGGATGATACGCAAGTTCGTGAAGCGTTCCATATTTTTTTAAAGCAAAGAAATAAGTAAAAAAGAGGTGTTATAAGAGAGTAACACACGAAACAAAAGGAGGGGAGATAGGACGAAAAGGGTATGATAGGAAAAAAGGAGCAAAACACATCAAAGGTCCCGCCAACAACCCACATTGTTTTCTTTTGGTCTAAGTACTAGCACTGAGATGAAGCTTAAGATGCATCTTTCTTGTCCAGATCCTGGCACATTGGTTTGGTGTTTCACCACGCGCACACTCATACACACACACACACACACACACACACACACACACACACACACACACACACACGCACAGGCTTACAGCCACATGCATAATATAAATGAATAGTAATACAATAAACAATAATAATGTTAAGGTAGATACATACTTAGTATTCTGATTGTAACTCAATGTTATTCTGAAAGTGAACACTTCCGGTGGCCACTAAGTAGCGCCCAATATTCTCTCTGTAAATCAGGAAATCAAATTTTTCCAAAGAATAGGCTGCCTTAAGAAATAGAATCTTTGAATAGGAAATGAATCTGGTGAAAAATGGTATGGGTTTAACGCCTCTATCAACACTGTTAGGTTATTTAAGGGGCGGAACCTCCTAGTTTAACGTCCGTCTCCGATAGGACCGAGCCAAGTGGGAAGTTCGTGTAGAATGCCTTTCTCAAGGACACAACGTCGAACCGAGCTGAGGCTCGAACCCCCGAACCTGCAATCTCACCATTACGAGTCCGGTAGCCTAACCATTAGGCTACCGACGCAGCGAAATGAATTTGTTCCGATTAAAATGTGAACAACTTTAAAAAGTGGCGTGGAATTGAAGTCATCTCTCAAAAAAGCGAGATCTTTTCCGATCAGTCTTGTGGTCCGATAGGATTACTTATGAATTTAGAATATGGGGTAAAGAAAAATAACAGAATACGTGTGAAGTTATACAATATTATGCTTAAAGCAAAATTGGCACTTGAGTGTAGTTAGGAAACATCGAAAATGGAAAAGGGGGCGTTAATGTAAATAGTTTAAAATTGGATCTCTTGTTGGGGTGTTTTCTAAACTCAAGAAGGTCTAAAAATGACTTCTAAGTTCAACCTTTTTACTATTAATGTCTTTTGATCTCCTAAAGGGCAAAAAATCCATCCTAACTCTTTCCTAGCATGATTCTGGCTTACTCAAATAGTCCCCCGCTGATCCCCTTTGGTATTTCCCCCCTCACCTCACGCCCGGGCAGCCTACAAACAGCAAGGCGCAATGTTTTAGCCGCGATTTCGTAAAAGGCAAACATGCAAGGGCAGCGAGGCTTATTTTAGTAGCCACGGTTTCGTAAAGACAAACAAGGGTTTACATACAGTAAGAATGGCGCCTTTAGCAGTAGCAGTTGCGTTTTGTCAACCGCAGCGCGCAGTCTGAACACCCAGGGCGACAGAGGCGCATGTTTGAGTCAGTTTGCACAGGGACAAGAATCAATATTGCCCCTGGGGGCGGGCAGTTGTCGTCTTAATCAAGGTGTACCAGTCTTAAGAGCACGGAAGCCTCCTTGTGGAGCAGGTTAACGGGCGTGTCGCTGGTTCTTCACTAGACAATGCCACCATTCCAGACACAGTCCACAGGATTAGCTTTTTTACACCCAGAAAAGGGAGAGAATGAGAGAAAAGGGGGGGGGGAGGGGGTAGAGGGAGAGGGGGGGGGGGGTAACGTGTGAGGGATTGAAGGGTTAATTGGCCCATCCAGTGTGCAATGTGACCTCACGGCCACTCAAGGGTCACAGACTGTATTCAGGCAGTACACCAGTAACAGTAGCAAGGTTCATCCGGTCTGGGACGACATGACGGTTCGGCCCGCTTCTTCACTTTGGTTTAGTTTTAGAAAGAGTTTCACGACACTAGCAACACAATAAGGTCATATAAGTGCCGAAGATTAGATGTGTTACAAGAGAGTAACAAACACAAAAAAGAAGGAGTAATCATGAGGATAGAGTGTGATAGGGGGAAAAGAACGAGCCACACCAGAGTGCCTACCTATCACCGGCAAAATCCTCTTCTCTAACTGTCTAAAGACGTAGCGGACACTTTATGATAATAATAATATTATCCGATCAGCAGCAGACAAGAAGCACAGTTGGGGCACATTTCAAACCATCATACACAACTTAGAAACTTGTTTTGCCTGTCAGATAAAAAAAGCAAAGTTATACTTTTTTCTTAAGTACCCCAAAACAGCGTGTCTCCAAACATTGTTGAATGAGCAAAATGTCGGCGAGTCCCCAGTGAGTTAATCTTGCCATGCTGATAGGCTCATGAAGCCAGTTATCCGATCAGGATAATTTCATTAAACCTTGGTTGTTCTTCAGGGTGATTGAAAACTATTTTTTTTTTTAAGAAAAGAAAAGAAAAGAAAAAATAGAAAAGAAAATTGAACTGACGTGAGAGAGGGTGGGGGTAGTTAAAGTTTAACAGCAAAATAAACCTAATATTAATTAGATTGATTTTCAGCCCTAATAAAAATGGGTCTATTTGAAAAGGTTTGCGAAAATTTCATTTCAATTTCTACTCTCTATGTTAAACTGTAACTGGAAATGTAACAGAAATGAACTCTTCCCTTGTTTGATCTGCGACTATCCGAGCCTGCGCGTTCAGAAAAGGTACTTTACCTTATTTTTCCTCACTTCAGAAAATTGCTAAAGAGTACTTGCAATTCGACACAGACGGAAACTGTGAATAATAGCGTTGAGGGCTTTACGCCCCTTGTTGCTACTTCACCTTTCCGGCAGCGTACTGAGCTAGTCAACACTGGACTCAATTGTTCAGCCCAGGGGAGGGAATGCGAAGTTTGGAAACTTTCGATTAGAAGGAATGCAAGAATATAAACTGGCATTTCAATAACGTTAAAGTACGCCATGTTCCGGGTGGGACGTAGTGCTGTGTTTTTAAAGTTTGTGTGGAGGTTTAGGTTGTTTTCGTTACTTTTTGCTGTTTGTGTGGTTTTAATGTTTGTTTGTTTTGTTTGTTGTCGCTTTTATTTGTCCATTTTCCTGGTTTGTTTGTTTGGATTTTTCGTTTGTTGCTTTTGTTTTTGTATTTTGTTTTTTCTTTGTCTTGTTACAGTTTTGTTTTGTCTATCTTTTGGTGTTTTGGTTTTCTTTTAGGGTGGGGTTTTTTCTCATCTTTCAATATTTTTCGGGGGGGGGGGGGGGGGTGGAATAGAAGTCTTGGAGAAAATTGTATATAATATCTCTTTCTCGGTGATCACAGCAGGTCAAACGATTTGAAAACATATACGCTTGTTGCAGAAAAAAAAAACTGCCATACGAAAGAACACGTCTGCTAGGCATTTATGTGCGGATGACTGCCAGAATCACTCATATACCAGGAAAGGTCGTCCGTACCAGCAGTTTAATCTGGTTAGTCATACATATTGAGAGCCAGTAAGTTCTCTGACCTCTTTGCTAGGACATTGATAAAAAAAATTACAGTCCAAATGCCATCTAAAACACGCAATGTCTAGAGATGATGAGAGACGGAAAGAGAGAGAATGAGAGAGCGGCAGAGGGAGGAAGAAAGAGTGAGAGAGACAGGGATAAAAACGAAGAATGAGACAGAGAGAGATAGAGGTGGGCAGAAGGACAAACAGAGAGAGAGAGAGAGAGGGGGGGGGGGGGGTAGAGGTGAGAAATAAAGGCAAAGAGACAGCGAAACAGAGAGCGAAAGTAAGAGGGAGAGAGAGAGAGAGAGAGAGAGAGAGAGAGAGAGAGAGAGAGAGAGAGAGAGAGAGAGAGAGAGAGAGAAAGAAAGAGAGAGAGAGAGAGGATGAAGTAGCAGTAACCCTTGTAGTACTACTTCCCTCCCAACCCCCAAGCGCCACGAAGCAACCTATACCCAAAATAATATAATGACCAAGCACATTTATTCTTCCCCTCCCCTCAGACTTCACGCCATTTCACTAATAAGGCGAACCTTGTAAGGCACGAAAAACCTCTGCAGTTGCTAAGAGCCGTGACTTGAGAGGAAAAACAGACGGTGATTATAGACACCAGCACTTTCCTTTGATCACTTCTATTGCCTTTATCGCGTTTAGTTTGCACTGGGGGTCTGGGAATTCGAAGCATGTGGTAGCCTGTTGGTCAAGCTGGCTCCAGTGTTTATGTAAGGTCAGTCGAGGTCAGGTTTGTTTGATGTTCATTGTTCTGTGCCCCAGACCAGGGTGGATAACCGTTTATCTCCCACAGACCAGACCTCTGTACAATACTGCAAAGAGGTGTTAAACTGGTGATAGGATTCGTGAATTCTCTCCTCTATCTGTTGCAGGGGAGATCATCAGGGTGTCATCTTGGTGCCTTTCTGTTACATATCTCTAGGCGCGTTCATCGGTAATGTTACCCAATCAATTCCAATTTCGACGATCACCAAATCAGGAGTGGAGTCCCAATTTGGACGATTGCCGAAAGTGCAAAATGTGTTTTGTGTACAATGCTCGTAGATTTTTGTAACAACGGTATGAAATCAATGAGAGTTCCTGTTCTTTATTCACATATTATTTATAACGCTTCTGATTTAGCGTTGTTTTGTGTTTTGTTGATATTGTGTGCTTTTTGTTTGATGTTGTTGGAGGGGGAGGTTTGGTTGGGCTGGGGGTGGGGGGTTGTTTTTTGTGTATATTTTTTTTTTTACGAATGGTTTGTTTTGTATGAGTTTGGTTGTTTAAAAAAGGACAGAATTTCTATTTTGTCCATAATAGGCCTGGGGCTCTGGGGCTCAGGGGTAAACTAAACACAAGGGAGACTAGGACCCAAAGGGTAAAATTAGGTTTGTGGTAGACCTATCACCGAGAGTGGCAGTAAGAATGAACTTAGAAGATAACAGAAAAACATATATACCATGAACAAACGACTTTGAATTGAAGGAAGCAACTCCTGAAATAGATATTGCCACAGACTAAATCGTGAAAGTACCTAATCCAACCTTGTCAAAGATCGTAAAATCGTTTAATTCCTGAGCAGGATAAAAATGGT